CTTTCTTAAGTTCTGTAGGAATCTGAAAAGAAGTAACGGAAGTCTGTGTCAAGGTCTTTCAATATGCAACCACCTATATCAAAACCAACCAAACATTGAAGTAATGTGTCATCATTCACATCATCTTATTCAAAGACAACTAATCACACTTACAGTAAGCATACTGATCTCCTTGTTTCCCTATGAGATATGCTCCATCTAATTTACAAAGATATTCTGACTCACTTCAGTTAACAGCTTCAGTGAAGTTAGATGAACGATCTATTTATCATGGAATGAGGCTATACATAGTAAGATGAACATCTACGTCCGTTGGTATAAGTGTGGTTGTGAATAACTGCAATGTCACTGAACGTGAATTTGTTGTCATGTTGTGGAATTGTGTTTATGTGCTTATTTATATCAATTGTCGTTCATTTCTCAACAGAATTCATTTCACAATTTGTTCTGATTGCCTCGAAAAAAACAAGAGAGATTGCGTTCAACAGTCATAAAATTTATCATCTCACCAGCAATTTCTAGTCATCCAACATTTATTGTATTCCAAATCGATCAAGTTCTATTTAGTTACATTCGAACAAATACAATCTGAGAAGCGATCAAGATTTTAATAACATCTCTCTCAAAATATTCAATTATGAACATTCCCAACAACTGGTATGTAGAAAGCTGAAAACGACCGTTCACGTACAGAACTCTGACACACACTCTTTGTCCTTAATTGGCTCGAAGGTATCAGAATTTGTTGGCATATTGTTCAATATTTCAAAACGTGCTAGAATAAACTGTGTCATTAACGGATTATTACTAGTTTCATCAAGCCAGTATGCACAGTACAAAATGTTGGTGTCCTTCTATCCCTTTCAATATATTTCGATGTATTTGACAGTACTGATATGCATGAAATAATAGAATCATGCATTCATTTGTGCGACTTACGTTCTCATAATAGAAATATATCTTCCCATTCGAGTGTATCAGGTACATTGCCTTGATTATATCATCTGCAAAAAAGAAAACTACCGATATTTAGCAATTCAAGGATTAGTGTCTAGCTTGTCATTGCTAGATGTGACACTGTATGCGCCTGCACAGATGGGGATCAGATTTTAGCCGATATTTACTGTGTTATCTCAAATGTTTCCTGTAGTCGAATTCGTAATGAAAATAATCTCGTGAATGTTGTGTAAATGAAAAAGGGATGTATCCTTCATAATGAATGTCTGATGCTTAGTTTGTTTAGTTTTCATATTCAAACAATAATTCATCTAGTTTCTAATTAGACCCGATAGTTGGAGTGGTTTTCGAATTGGTGGAATATTTTCTATAATTCAGCTGATGCAATCGACTCTAGGAGCAAATGAAATGAGCTGCTGTCTGTTTGTTTATAATCCGAGTTTTAGAATTTATTTAGTTATGTAACGCATTGGCATATCAGTCGATCAAATGACTTTGACCACATTATTTGTTAAAGATGAGAATTGAATACGATTTTAGTACATATCGTTTTAACGACGTCTGAATTTGAAAGAATAGAAGCTAAGAATGACTGTGTAATGAGTGAATATTTGGATGAATGTGATGTATACAGAAATGATTTTCCGATGAACACATATTTACAATTTTTTTTATAAACAGACTTTTCATCATGATCCTTTGAAACCTGTCAATGAAGATGAATCTCTGTATTCGTTTATCTACAAATGAAATGTGATTATGACCTAATGTATCTAAACGTATTTCAATTATTCTCTTAGTTTCAATCAAATATGTATCAACAATCAGTGGATTCTATGTGTATTTAGACTCTGTCAGTTTTCCAAGAAGAATTCAATTACTCAAACTGAATAGAAAACATTTGAGTAATAACAATCAATGATGATGTAAAGTGTTAATAGTTCACATGTGATCAAACAATCATGGATATGGATACATACTTTTATTATCAATGTTTGTATGACAAGATCTTCTGACAGCTAAAAAGTCATCTGAAATAATGAAAGCAAAATAAATTGGTGTTCATGTATCTGTATAATGAATATTTACCTCTTTCAATAAACAAAATGTGTTTGGACACAAATTATGATGTTCCTTTCAAGATTTAAGTGAACCAATTCAAGTAAATGAGAGTCTCAATGATCCGCTTTATTATTTCACCGATATGATGAACAGTATTCTCTTAACTGAACTAATTATCGTCCGAAAATGTTATCCCAATGACATTAATTTCAGTAATTGAATAAAACGTATGTCCTTCATTTTGATGTTCTAGGTGTTGTAGTTCCAATCAACCATGTTGTATCAGCCTATTATTCATGATTGTTAGTTGATTGGATGTTTGAGGTGGTGCATGAGGTCAAACTTCATGATCAAACGATTATGATAATCAAGAATGTGTTTAATATCCAGTAGTTCAACAACAGTGAATAAGAGGGACTGAACTTTTAAGAACCAAGTAAGTGACAGAAATAGTTGGAGGACATCAAATATAAATTGATAGTTAATGTGCTTCAATAATCCAAACTGATTTTTCACACAACATCGCTTATTATTGCACCTGTGATCAGCTTGATTCGTTCAATCTATCAAGAAGTGTCGTATTGATGAAATATCAGTTTTATGGTAGTCTGAACAGATTGAAAAGTAGATTATTTCCACCTGAGCAATTACATCGTTTGGTTTATTATTTCTACTCAATCAATTTGTGTCTGTTTTGAATTGGATCACGGTTTTATTAAACATTTTCACTTCACAGTAATGAATACGTGTTGTGAACACATTTTAGGGCATGAAATCACACAAATAAAATAATCACTGTGTACTGGTCAGCCCCCACGAATTAATCAAGTCAAATGCCAAATCATTTATGCAAAATAAAAATGAGGAATGAAAAACATAAAACAAAATCTCATTGAATAATAGAACTCACTTCCATCCAAAATCTCAGTTTCACACTGATCATTGACTGAGAAACCATTCCTAATTTCTCCTAGACCCTCTTTTCCTTCTAAATTAATTTCACCTGTGTTTATCAAATGAAAACATCCAATTAGATTGATCATCTTCAGTGATTGAATGAAAGACTTTGAAATTAACTGGAGACTAGAATGAATTGCATGAACTGTAATTAGTTTGCTGCAACGCATCAAACGATTTACAACTTGAACAAGGAAAGACCTCAGTAGATGTTTTGAATGTTAACAAATGCCTAAAACTGATCTATTGAAGTAATGAAAGCGACTTCGATTCATGGAATTGAAATGTGAATAAACAAAACTCAGTGAAAATTTTAATTCGAGGAAAATAATTCTCTTACCATATTCATTTATTATGAATGTGCTGACATTAGAACCATATAATGTAAAGGAGAATTTCAAATCTATTTTCTAGAAATATGCAAACATATGGATTAGCATCTCCGTTGCAAAGTGTATTTAACTCACCTTCCCAAAAACCGGTTCCTCAAACGTTCCACTATCAATTGGAGAGGACTGGTTAAAGCGAATTAACTGAGAATATTCATAATAATGAGACTGAATATTTGTATTGGAACCTGATTGATGACTTACATATTTATATGTCTCAGTTTGGAAAATTACTTTTCCAATATTAAGCAAATGAGATTTTCCACAAAATTCATGACAGTCGAAAAATTTCGATGTAAATACAACGATCGAATAGATCGCTACCAACTGACCAAATGAAAATGTATATCTGAAATGGTTCAGATGAATAAAACAATGTTATCTCATCAGATCAAATTGAAATTGATATAATACACTCAATTGCCTTAATTAAACAGTCAATACTCACATCATTTTCTTGTTTTAGACGTTGGTAGAACGTGTTGAGTTTATATAGAATTTTGTCAAGTGTTTGCATGTTTCTTTCAGATTGGATGATTCAAATTGACCTTTAAGATAATCAAAAATTCATAAAATCATTTCATAATCATTAACCAATCGTCATAGGAGATGAACTCATTGTTAAGCAATATTCTTACACTTGCTGAGGTAATATAGCCTGATAATGATCCACAGTTGGTTGAAATTCCTGACTCCCCCATTGATGAAAACTATTTTGGATAGGATTGACAATATACTAAACTAAGTAATTAGTGCTCATATTTTCATGAACAAACATTGTGTGTTACTTGTAATCAACTGTGAGTAGATTGTCAACGGTGCATAGTTTTAATTTGATTGGTTAAAATCAAAGTAGCACACACTGTTTTCATTAGATGATTAAATTCACGTTTTTATATTTGAATTTAATTTCAATAATATGAATTCTTTCACTGGCTGAAATCATGAGCCAATTGAAGCTAGATCAACATGGAAATTTGGAAGCACTGGATGGGTGTTTCGTTCTAGCATGGGACTTCACAGTGGCAGTGCGCATCCACGATCGCGCATTCCGCGAGATCCGAACACAGAACCTATCAGTCTCGCGCGCGATCGCTTAACCATTAGACCACTGAGTCGACCGGCATCCAACGGTGTTCTTGTCTATTTTCAATCAATCCACGAAGTTGCACCACCATCACCGTCGTCTTCAGTGAGTTGATATCTGACAACAGACTTGGTTGAACTCCACTGGTAACGGTTTCTCACCAGAACTGTAGAAGTGTCTCTTGAAGTCAGTCACTGGTGAGCAAATGATTATTATCAGATGGGGTTTTGTGAGAGTGAGACCGATAGGTCCTGGGTTCGAATCTCGCGGGGGGGGAGATCGTAGATGCGCACTGTTGAAGAGACTCATACTAGGATGAAACGGCCGTACAGTGCTTCCAGGTTTTCCATGGTGGTTTAGCTTCAATTCAATCATGATTTCAATCAGTTGAATGAATAACAGTCCATATTTTCGTAAACCAATGATAAATTCATTGGGAAAAGCCAACACTATTAATGATTTTATTACATTTTTATAAGAGTAATTCTTGATACAATGATAGTGAATTGTAATATTGTACCACTTATATGTAGACTGATATGTTATTATCATGAATCGTTAATGTTTTTGTTGTTGTTGTTGTTAGTAGTAGTAGTAGTAGTAGTAGTAGTAGTAGTAGTAGTAGTAGTAGTAGTAGTAGTAGTAGTAGTAGTAGTAGTAGTAGTAGTAGTAGTAGTAGTAGTAGTAGTAGTAGTAGTAGTAGTAGTAGTAGTAGTAGTAGTAGTAGTAGTAGTAGTAGTAGTAGTAGTAGTAGTAGTAGTAGTAGTAGTAGTAGTAGTAGTAGTAGTAGTAGTAGTAGTAGTAGTAGTAGTAGTAGTAGTAGTAGTAGTAGTAGTAGTAGTAGTAGTAGTAGTAGTAGTAGTAGTAGTAGTAGTAGTAGTAGTAGTAGTAGTAGTAGTAGTAGTAGTAGTAGTAGTAGTAGTAGTAGTAGTAGTAGTAGTAGTAGTAGTAGTAGTAGTAGTAGTAGTAGTAGTAGTAGTAGTAGTAGTAGTAGTAGTAGTAGTAGTAGTAGTAGTAGTAGTAGTAGTAGTAGTAGTAGTAGTAGTAGTAGTAGTAGTAGTAGTAGTAGTAGGAGTAGTAGTAGTAGTAGTAGTAGTAGTAGTAGTAGTAGTAGTAGTAGTAGTAGTAGTAGTAGTAGTAGTAGTAGTAGTAGTAGTAGTAGTAGTAGTAGTAGTAGTAGTAGTAGTAGTAGTAGTAGTAGTAGTAGTAGTAGTAGTAGTAGTAGTAGTAGTAGTAGTAGTAGTAGTAGTAGTAGTAGTAGTAGTAGTAGTAGTAGTAGTAGTAGTAGTAGTAGTAGTAGTAGTAGTAGTAGTAGTAGTAGTAGTAGTAGTAGTAGTAGTAGTAGTAGTAGTAGTAGTAGTAGTAGTAGTAGTAGTAGTAGTAGTAGTAGTAGTAGTAGTAGTAGTAGTAGTAGTAGTAGTAGTAGTAGTAGTAGTAGTAGTAGTAGTAGTAGTAGTAGTAGTAGTAGTAGTAGTAGTAGTAGTAGTAGTAGTAGTAGTAGTAGTAGTAGTAGTAGTAGTAGTAGTAGTAGTAGTAGTAGTAGTAGTAGTAGTAGTAGTAGTAGTAGTAGTAGTAGTAGAAGTAGTAGTTTTAGGTAATTTTGCAGCATATTCACTTAGTCTGGATAAGAATTCATTTGACTGTTAGTTCATTCAATCTTATACATGAAAATACTGTTTATTAGAATAGTGAGCTTCACTTATTTAATCATTATCAATTTCTCATAAGACGACAATTCTGCAAAAATCTGAACTGAAACTGGATATTCTTCATATGTACGGGTTTATTACACATTTCAAGGATGAAGAGAACATTTCACTCAGTACTAACTAAATTGTCCTGGGTTGGAACCGAGTTCATGTTCTGTAATAAAGAGTATAACGATTATTATTACATAGAATTCAGAATTGATAATGATCACACATTTACTAAGATAATAAATAATGCGCATATCAATGAATGCAAACACTCCGGTAGCGTACATGCAAATATATTCAAGGATCAGTAATGATAGATCTGAACTGATTGTTTACTTTTCATTCATGATCAAAATATAAAAGCAGATTTCTCGAATCTAATCTATTTCTGCACAACATGCAATACATGGATTTCAGTTATACTGTGAATGGTGATATGTTTCATCTTCTTATTTTCAGCAACATCTGAAACCTCGTGACTTCCAAAGAATTTCTACTTTCACCATGAGAAGTCATAATTCTTTGAAATAAAGATTTTGCATAATCATATAGTTTAAATGATATTTTTACATCAGAAGTTTCTAAATATAGTTATATATGAACAATGATGAACATTCTCATCTGTTACCATGGCAATACTTGACGATGGTGTGATTTGTGAAATAGGAAGGTCACTAGATGAAAGTCGGAATGTATTGTAGTAAGCTTCCAGGTTTTTGTCAATATAATAATACTAATAATAATGGTGATCATAATAATAACAACGTTGTGTGAATATAATATGTAATAAAAAGAGTGTAGTCAAGGTAATTACGATGAAAAAGAATCAATGTGGATTAGGCAGGAGATAATCACAAAACGAATTGGGATAATAGGCTGATAACATGCATTTGAGGTGTCTGGTGATTCAGTCGTGGACCACGGTAGATATGGATGCTGGTCATATCCCTCTTCTGGATATATTAGTTCGGTTTCCAGCAGTTGATCAACATGACTTCAGTTATATTGAGTACCCGTAGTCTAGCTCCTGTTATGTCCCCATATAAATCGTGCATTTGATTCAGGCTTTCTTTACTGACCATGTCAGGTGTGGATTTCCACAAATTAACTCTAAAATTACTTGATTGAGAATGTTATATTATAAGTATATGTATAGATATTTGGTGATGGAATGGTTCGACCGGAAAATGTATGGAAGTATCATTGTTTGAAGTAGCGATATGAATAACTGCAGTAAAAACGAAATGATTATACTGAGCAACAAAGATGAACAATGAATGATGATGATGATGTCTGATCACTGTGGTGGAATTGAATTGCCTGTGCTCCAATAGAGAAGCCAAGCACTCGGCACATAAAACATGGAAGAGACCATCTTTATAGAGCAACTAATCAATGAGTCAGTTCAAATAACACAACATCATGAACATCAACCTTCTGAGTAACAGATCTTCTCTCTATAATCTCAATATTTGATCACAGTTTGTAATGTTGAATATCATCTTATAAAGTGACTTGCAATGTGATCATCAGAAATCAATTAACTGAAAGGACAGCTTTATGATAATCAACATAATGAATGTTAAATTTATATTTCAAGTTGATGATAACGATGATGATGATGAGGATGATCTCGGACATCATGTTCATCTTCACTATATAAATAAATATTTGCTACTTTGTGGTAGATCGAATCGTCATTTTTGATAGCACCCTGATCATATATACCGCTATAGACCTTCTAAGAAATCTTCCAGATCAATTCGTGAATATCTACAATACTGAGGTCTGAAGGCAGTTAGGACCAGATTAATTTCAATTCAGAATTGTTGTGAAAAGGATACTAACACAATCTTGTGATTTTGGTGGAATAATGTGAATATAAATCACATTCGCTGCATAACATCAATTTCTTTTGAATGATACTACTATTCAACATTTGAATGGTTGAATCAATCTGTTAAATAAGTGAATAGCAAAATTTCGTTTATTCAAATCAAAAACCAAAATGTGTACTTCTGTTTGATGAAACACAAAGATAACTATGTGTAATACATCATGGAGGAGATTGATTTTTGAGGACACGAATTGTGATTGAATTGTGATTCATTGGTTTATTTTCATAGATTACATCTGAAGACTGAAAGGCTGAGTGAACAATAAAATGTAAAGAAGAGCTGTGGTTGAGTCTCGAATTGTAGCGAAATATAGGTTGTTGTATATTTATCAGAATTTCCCTAGCCAGCATAAGTTAGTAATGGGAAAAACGAGTAACGTGGAATGGAAACTCATACAGCTGTGGTGTATACTAATTGGGTCTGTCGATATACGTAGTTCATAACACCGATCAGAAGTGGAAAACCTGACAGCAGAAGGCTAAGAAGATCGAGTTGAAGAGAATATAAGGGAAAAAAGGGAGAGTGGGCTGGAAGAATCATGAAGAATGTGATGAACAAATGATGGAAATTCACAAGTGAAGGATTCAATGAAATGGTTGTGATATTTTATCAAGGCCATCAAATGCCCTGGTATGGCCGAGAGTGTATGTGTGAATGTATTGAAATAGTTAACTATCTTGACATTCCTAAGTTACTGTCTCAATCATTGAACCGTAGATAAAGTGGCTTTCTGAAGTTAATTGTCACGAAAACTTGTCAATTCCCTCGTTACACCAAACCTACTTCATACAAACACCACAAACCTGTATATCGTATGCATGGACGAATAAGATTTGCAAAAACACTGAGAATTCTGTCTGATCCATCACATTCAATATAACATCATATCAAGTTCTATCATTTCTCTTACATCCAATAAAATATTCAAAGTCATATTGATTACTTCTTCAATCTCAGTGTGGACAACGTGTTTGTCTAATGAACAAAAACATATTTGTGTTGACCTCTTTTTTGTTTATAGAATCAGCTATGATTATACTTTGTTTATCATTGATCACCTCATTCCATCTCAAATAATCAAATAATATAGTATTCTCTATTCTGTATCGTGTGTGTAATGTCAGTCTTGGTTAGAATAAACAAAACATCGTTTTCTCATAATAATTTGTTTATTTGGCCGATAATCACCTGCCCTCAAACATCAAAGATGAGTGAAATTCTCATTTTACAAATTATTACTACTTTTCTAAAAAGAAGATGAAGTGAAAGCAAATGTTCTGGTTGTCAATTCATAGATGGTCTTGCTCCAGCGATGAATAAACACTGTAACCATTCACCAATTAATTTCAAATGATTGTAGTGGTCATTTTCTCATAAGATCATCCAGTTTCACGTCCATGATTTATAAATCTGTGAAACATCCATTAGTAAATTCGATTCTTTAAAACTCGTCTATTTATCACGTCCTGTGTATATTGGTGAAGGAGACTGTGAAGAATAATCCTGATTAAATAATCCACATTCTGTGTATCTTTTTATACCAATCACTGTGACGTATAAACTCATTGTTAGCCGATATTCTGGATGAACACATTTCACTAATAACCAGATATATGCTTTCATCGAACATTAATTAAGGTTGGATATCACAGTTTAATGGAAGCAATCGAATTAGATATGTAACTGGATTCGTTTAGACATATCAGTTAATAATGAAATTTTTCTTCATTTTTCTACAGAATTATAATGGATTTTCCCATAAAGAAGCATTCTCATTACTGATGTTGTGCATGTTAGATCATCAGAACTCACTTGGCAAAGGACATAATTTTGTAATTGTATTTAGAAAACATGTATTTCTTTGTTTTCGCGCCAAACGTTCCCTTGTCAACTTCATGTGGTATGTCCCACTTGGAAAATATCTTAAATGCTATTGCTCCGTTGCGTTGGCTAGACAATTTACATAAATTTTTAATCAAGTCATTCCTGTAGCTCGTCTAAGGATATTGTCGATCATATATCCAAGTAAAGGAGGAGGGCTTAACATGAAGTCAGCATTTCCATACTTCAGAAAGCAACGTCGCTAAAATTTATGCTGACCACAATAAACAAATTATAGCATACGAACTCTGATCTGGAATTTAAAGAATGTTCTTGCACCACAACTGTGATGCATGATGGCGAGGCTGAGATTATTACGACGTCACGAGACCAATTTTCTTCTAATAATATATGTATAGTCTAACTTAACATAACAATAAAGTTATACTCATCTACATATAAAAATAATAAAATCATCCTTTCATTTTGAATATTGATCTATTAGTTGCTTAATTGAAAAGATCCAAATAAAGTATAGCACAGGAGAATGTTAATCAAATTTGAGAAAACTACTATCGATCTTCTGTGAAGAATTCAATCGAAGATCCTCGCTGCGAATCTGAGATATGAGGTTGTTAATGCTCACCTCTGAATAGCCTAATACTAAGATTTCTAATCGTGGTATTGGTAAGAACATTTTATGACTTCAACTGTGAAAATCTTACAATCTTCACAAATCCATCGTACTAATATACATCATTGCCATTGTCTAAACAAAACATTAAGCCTAAAACATTGAAGTAACTTTTGACCGACTTCCTCTAGCAGTTAGGTCTATTCATAGTTTTCCACCTAATATCTAACGTTTCGACGACATGTGAGTGAGTATAGGTACGTGATATGTCAATACTCGACTAGCATTTCAAGTAGTTGTGTCTTCCTTTTCAGTCAGGGAGTATGACATATTTCATCAGAAAAAGGTCGAAACCCACTGGGTTACTGTTTAACTTAAATGATTATCGTGTCTAAAATACCTCGCTTTGCTTTGAAATATACTACTTGCTATTAGTAAGTAGTTTAGATACATTCAATTATTTATACAAAATAACTACTACAATAACATACGCCTTTATCACTTCCATTCATATAATTATCTTGCATTAGATTTCTAAATCCTCAAATACAACATATCAGGAAGACAATTGAACTTTATTTACAACGATTTGCATTCATAACTCTTCCAAATGAAAACCTTCTAACTCTCAGGGCAGTGTTTAAATGTTTTGAATTATTTTTCTGGTTGGCGTTTCTTTAACGAGTTAGTTTTCTACGGGGTGTGTTCGCTAACCCCATGCTCGACCCTCCGTCTTTATCCGGGCTCGGGACTGGCAGTAGCCCCATGAGGAATCGTTGTAAATAAAGTTCAATTGTCTTCCTGATATATTCAGTCTGATTAAGTTAACAGGACATAGTGTTCTGTAGTCCTATTCACTAACGATGTATACATCTGGCGCTATAATAAAAACACAATGTAAGTGAGGGGACTGAGATGTGAAGTGGCTAATTTAATTTTCTGATCAAATTTTAATGTATGTCAATCATATTCCACTGTTCTTCTAATTTTGATA